GATTCCCCCACAACTGTGAAGACCCTTGAATGCTTTGTTCACTGGATTTGTGGCAAGTGTCTGGAAAAGTGCACAAGGGAAAGGCTTCCCATATATATGTAGAGTGAATGATTCCTTGCAGACCTGCCAGGTCGATGAGGGGTCTGGGCAACTGCTACCAACCCTGAGGGCAGCTGTTCTGTGCATATATCAAGGACAGGAGCAGCTGGAACAAGTAGGAAATGTGGCCGGTACGAAGGCATAGCAGCTTCCAATGCCCCTGCCCACATGTGATACTGGCAAGCCATATCAGGGTTGGCCAGTTCAAGTCTTGGCTGTTGTCCTGCGGTGTCCAGCTCCCTGCTAATGAGCCTGGGGAAGTGCCAGATCCGGCCTTAAGTAGTTGGAGCAATGGCAGAGGAGAAGGGCCCAGGTCCCGCGTCCCCCCCCCCCATGGGAGACCAGGAAAAGCACGCTGGCTCCTGGCTCCTGCCAGGATCACCGGGGTGCGCAGGGTGCAGCGGCATCCATTGCAGAGTGAACCAACGGCAAAGGAAGACCTTTTTTTTTCTGTCTCTCCCTCTCACTGTCCACTCTGCCTGTCAAAAAAAAAAAAAAAAAAGATTTACTTATTTATTTAAAAGTCAGAGTTACACAAAGAAGGAGACACAGAGAGAGAGAATGAGAGCGAGAGAGGAGTCTTCCATCTGCTGGTTCACTCCCCAAATGGCTGCAATGACCAGAGCCGCGCTGATCTGAGGCCAGGAACCAGGAGCTTCTTCTGGGTCTCCCACGTGGGTGCAGGGGCCCAAGGACTTGGGCCATCTTCTATTGCTATCCCAGCAAAGAGCTGGATTGGAAGTGGAGCAACCAGGTCTTGAACTGGTGCCGATATAGGATGCCAGCACTGCAGGTGACAGCTTTACCTGCTATGCCATAGTGCTGGCCCCTCATTGTTAATTTTAATGTTGCTATATAAGTTGGTATCCTGGGCCTTATTCAAATATAATTACCTTTACCATTTAACTTTGGAATATCAGTTCTATTCATGTTCTCTCTCATAATACATATGGTGAAAGAAGAAAATTTGGGGATTTTTCTGTCTTACTACTATTCATGTAGTATTGAAATGATCTATGTTGCAGGCTAAGCCTCCACCTGTGGTGCTGGTTTGTGTCCTGGTTGCTCCTCTTGGGATCCAGTTTTCTGCTAAGGGCCTGGGAAAGCAGTAGAAGATGGCCCAAGTACCTGGGCCCCTGTACTCAGCGAGGAGACCCAGAAGAAGCTCCTGGCTCCTGGCTCTGGCCCAGCTCTGGCCGTTGTGGCCCTCTAGGGAATGAACCAATAGATGGAAGACCTTTCTCTCTGTCTGTCTGTCTGTGGCTCCACCTCTCAAATAAATACATATCTAAAATCTTAAAAATAAATAATTAAATGATCCATGTCCTCAAAGGCAAATCTTATTTATATCTAAATAAGTACAAAATCTTGGACAAAACAGAATCACGGGCAAATAAGTACATATATAGCAATGGCAACTTCAAATAATGGATGTAGCTTTTATTTCAATAAGAACATATTTCCTACTAGAAAATAACCAGATATAAAAATATTTTATGAATGTTGACATTATACAGCATAACTGATGTCTTAAAGACCTACTGCTCTTTTTCTAAAAAAAAATATTTATTTTATTTATTTGAAAGAGTTACAGGGAGAGGCAGAGAGAGAGAGAGAAAGGTCCTCCATCTGCTGGTTCACTCTCCAAACGGCTGCAACAGCCGGAGCTGAGCTGATCCAATACCAGGTACCAGGAGCTTCTTCTGGGTCTTCCATGTGGATGTAGGGGCCCAGGGATTTGGGCCATCATCCACTGCTTTCTCAGGAGAATTAATAGGGAGCTGGATCAGAAATGGAGCAGCTGGGACTCAAACTGGTGCCCATATGGGATGCTGATGCTGCAGCCTGGGGCCTTTAACCCACTGCACCGCAGCACAGCCCCTTGCTGCTCTTCCTAAAAAGACAGCCTATGGGGTTGGCACTGTGGTGCAGCAGGTTAGGCCACCTGTGATACCACATCCCATATGGGTGCTGGTTTGAATTCCGGCTGTTCTGCTTCCCATCCAGTTCCCTGCTAATGGTCTGAGAAAAGCAGCAGAGGACAGCTTGTGTATTTGGGCCCCTGACACCTATGTGGGAGACCTGGATCAAGTGCTTGGTTCTTAGCTTTGGCCTGGCTCAGCCCTGGCCATTGGTTGTGGCTATCTGGGGAGTGAACCAGCAGATGGAAGATCTCTCTCCCCCTCTCTGTGTAACTCTGAGTTTCAAATAAATACATTTTTAAAACGTAACAAGGCCGGCGCCGCGGCTCACTAGGCTAATCCTCCGCCTTGCGGCGCCGGCACACCGGGTTCTAGTCCCGGTCGGGGCGCCGGATTCTGTCCCGGTTGCCCCTCTTCCAGGCCAGCTCTCTGCTGTGGCCCGGGAGTGCAGTGGAGGATGGCCCAGGTGCTTGGGTCCTGCACCCCATGGGAGACCAGGAAAAGCACCTGGCTCCTGGCTCCTGCCATCGGATCAGCGCGGTGCGCCGGCTGCAGCGCGCCGGCCGCGGCGGCCATTGGAGGGTGAACCAATGGCAAAGGAAGACCTTTCTCTCTGTCTCTCTCTCTCACTGTCCACTCTGCCTGCCAAAAAATAAAAAAAAATAAAAAAAATAAAAAAAAAAACGAAACAAAAAAAAAGAGGCAGTGTTTGAGAATTTTATAGAACTGAGGA